GAGGGAGGACTGGCTGACTCCAAGGTAAAGAGTGTTACAGTAATCCAGCTGAAATGTGACAAAGGCATGGGTTACTGTTTCAAACTGCTGTTGTGTGAGGATGGGCTTTACCTTAGCAAGATGCTGCTTGAGGTGTTAAAAACTGGTCTTGACTACCGCGCTAATCTGGGAATCTAATTTAAGATCACTGTCCATTTTAAAACCTAAATTAAAAACAGTTTCCTTTATGTGAAGTGCCAGAGTATTCATATCAACTAAGGGAGGTACACAGGACCCACTGGGACCAAACATCTTCAATTCTATTTCATTTTCAATAAAATTTTAAACGTTTAATAACAGCAAGGCTTTGATGTCTTCAAGACTCAACTGAAGTGGCCTAACTGAGATGGCATCTTTCTTTTTTTAGTGCATAAAGATCTGACTATCATCAGCGTAACAGTGAAAAAAGCCCCATGCTTTCTGAGGACTGAGCCCAAAGGAAGCAGAAAAGGGAGAAAAGCAGGGGCTCTAAGATAGAACCCTGTGGAACTCCAAAAGACAAAAGAGCAGTGGAGGATTCAGAACCAGCTATGTGCGCTCTCGTGCAATATTACGAAAAGTCACACTGAAAGAATGTGTTGTGAATGACTGCTATTGTCACATCAAATTTTACCTTGATATTTGTCAAATTGACTGAGTTATAGCCATTAGATTAACTAAAAGTTAACCAGTTGTAGATGCACATCCAATCATTGCTTTCTGAAAGTTTCATAAAAACTATCCAGTGGTTCATAAGGTGTTATGGTAACAGTCAAACACATTTGACTCCATTAGTTAATGCTAAAGTTTAAGGAAAAATTGTCTAACAAATTGTAGCACTTAAGTTACAAGTTTCTTGTTACAACCACACCAAATTTTAACCCAGTATCTGTGCACGTGGCTCAGTTATACTTATTTTTGTGTTTTCTAAGTTTATTTAGCTGTGGCAGTCATCTTGATGTGAGCTGACTAAAAAAGTTAGCTAGCTGAAGTCTATGCAGCATTTATTTAATAAAAGTTTGATTCAAATGTGTTGAGTGGATCATGAGATATGTTGGTAACAGACGTACAAACATGCTGACTCAAGCAAAACATATACTAATCATCTGCCCTTACCTTTTTGCAGCAGACGATTAAAAATTGTACACGCACACATTTTAAATCAAAACTAGGTCCCGAGGTTGTTTAATTGGAAAAAGAGACGGAAACTTTTAGCTCATGTGAACAAGAAGTGAAAGCAGCTGAAAGTCTCCAGGGAAACAAGGAGCCAATGACATTTTATGGCAGAGTCTGAAATAACCTTCAGCTGAAAAATGCCAGCTTTGACTGGTACACGCTTTTCTTCAAGAGTCATTGTACGGATTTGAAAAGGCATTTCTTTATCAGACTTCCAGCACTCGTCTCTTTTTGTTCTGACGTGTCTGTGTCATCCACACACACACAAACACACACAGTGACAGACCATAAACCAACATTATCACCAATTGGAACCGGATGGGGCTGTTTGTTTCTTGCTGCCATGACAACAAGGACAGACGATTTTCCCTCTCTGCTGTTTCCCGGAGGAAGGAACAGCTGCTGCCCACTATATTTGCGAACACGCCCCACCCCCCACACCCCACACACACAGACAATTGCAGCCACAGTTGTTATTAAAAACACACACACTTATTGGACATGTAGTGACAATCTCCAACTTTAACTTCTGCTTTAGCAGCATTGTGGCACGTGCAGACACACTGCAACATCTGGAGCTATTGGTTGTGACAGTTGATGCTATGGTCTGTTAGTCACGTATCATTGGCGTTTGCTCGTCTCACGCTGCTGGAGGAGAAGTGTTTACACAACCTGCCCTAAGATCTATATGAGGCCAGCTTTAAGATGCACCCATCTAAACCTGCTTCTGTAGGAATAAACCCACAATCAGAACAGACCTTTTATTTGTAATTTTCCCACTTCAGTTACTTGGGGATTATTTGCTGATGGAGCTTTTCCCTGAGATAGCTGTGTCTATTGATGAGATGGGAGATAATGTTATTACAGGAAAAGGCACAAACAGGCAATGAAGAAGAGAGGGAGGACGCTCATATTTGTCTTTCGGTGCTTTAATGTTTAAATGATGGACACATGTGTGTTACGTTCAACACAGTAGAAGTGGCACACTGACAGCTTCCTTGTAGTTTAAATCAACCGGGGAAACTGTTTCTGCTCTCTGATTTGAATTTGACTGACATCTGCTAATCCGGTTACACTGAACTAATCACAATTATTTGGGTTGAACATCACACAGGCTTTCATGCACTCCATATATCACTGTAAGGGACTGAAATTACGTGTCCAGACTGGGCTGAGAAGACCCTAAAATTATCTTGAAGAGCCATTATGTGTTGGGCTCCATGAACAGAAGCAAAAAAAAGAAGCTGCTAGCTACTCTAAACAAACTTTTGAGATAGAGTGAAGATTTCATCTCACACATTTTGATAGACTCCGTTTTCCAAGTTATATAACATTAAAAATTGTAATAAATATATGAAAAATTAAAAAAAAAATCTGCATTTACTTTGGTAGAAAGAAACAACTTGACTGGACATAAAATATCACACAAAAATTAATAAAGAAAAAAAATAATAAAAAGGACTAAGTAAAATTTACTACTAATAAGACTCTTCTTTAACTTTCCATATCTTTCAGTGAAAAAAATATGAGTGTATTATTATTAGTATTACCATTATTATTATTTTTATTAATATTATATTTGTTTAAAATGAAAGAAAAATAAATGTAATATTATGAAGGTGTAATTTTGCTATTATACAAAAAATAAATAATGTACTTGAAATATAAACGCAATCTTCTGTTTTTGAAATAGTTTGCCTTTTATACACAGTTTATTATTTAATGTATTTTTTTTTTACATAAAACCCCATAACTGCTGCTCTTTTAACTTGTGTACATCTCACTGATTTTTACATAAAAATAGATCATTTTAACTTGTATTTATGCCCCTCATAACTTCTTTACAAAAAAACTATAGATGTGTCAAAAGCAATGCAACAGAAAACTCAACTTGTTTCCATAATTTCAACAAATAAGTTTATAAAATCCTCTCCTTTTCTCGCTTTATGTCTTTGTCTCCTCCTCTCGTTCATCTAAATTAGATCTTTTAAATGAGCCGAATGCAGCAGTATCAGATTATCAGCATGAGCGTGGTTGCCCAGGTAGCTGAACCAGAAGCTGTAGGTTCATGCGCAGCGTGCACTGGTGAGCAGTAAACAAGGCCCGTCAATTAACGCGTTTTTTTTTGGTTGCACCATGTGAGAAACAAGGAGACACACGATGCACAAACATGATTCTCTGGGGAGATAAACAAGTCTTGACAGAGTTCACCTTCAAACAAACAGCTCTGAGGACACGAGCTATTACAGGTGGAGTAAACTGTAAACTGTACAATAATCTCTGCACAGTTTCAACATGAAATCATAATGAGACTATGCTAATTCCATTTTATTTTATTTGTGTTTATTCTCTACTCAAAACAGCAACAACAAAAATCACTCATTGCTTTCAGGCATGTAGATGTAGTGACGACAATTTGCTAAGTTCAAACCAAGCATCAAAATGGGGGGGGGGGGGGGGGGG